TTGACCTAAAAACTGAATCAGTTGCGCCTCCGATAAGCGTACGAGCTTATTTGAATCAAACAGTTTCAGAATTTAAACAGCTAATTTCAAAGGTAATTTACACTTGTTAAGGACTTGCGTTACAAAGTTTTCATTCATTCTGACTGTGAAAATGCATCGTGATTTAAATATCTAAAATGAGAGCCTGCACGTTTTGCAGTTCATACGGTGTGTCATGTCCAGTATAGGGGTAGGTTAGTTGTTACAGTTGAGCTTGTCTGTCTGTCTGCTCACTGCTGCTAAAAGCAGCAATCTGCCCATTGCTTTGATCCGAAGTTCTACCCTAGCTTTTGCACAAGCTTTAGCCACTCTCTGGCCATATTGCTTGCTAGCTTACCAGATAGTCAAGTTTTCTGTGAAAGCTGAAGAGTCAAGTTCATGTTTTTTAGGTTAGTAACTTGAACCACCTCACTGATTATCCAGTCAGTGGCAGAGCTGGTGAACTGTTCTGTAAAACTGAATCAAAATGTAAATTCCCCTATTGGCTTCAGCAATCGAAACTTAACATCCAAAGCTGTCCACATTCTCCCTACAAACCCTTCTTTTCATCCCAGCAGCAACTTGTTATTAAGATGCAGATTTATTTTTTTTTTTCTTCACAGTCTTAAACCAGGGGATGTTACTGCTTCCATTGAATCAGAAGACAGACATTTTAGTCAGTTCTGTGTAAAATAGTTCAGTGGTTGGTGTAACTTCATAATATTTGTAATTTGAATTCATTCTAATTAAGAATTAAATGAACAGTGTGCAAAACCTGAGTGCTCAAGAAGGTTTTTTATTTTTAGATGGTTCATACCCTAATTAATAAGAGCAATTCCTTATAATAATGGTTATTAACAATTTGCAAGTTCTCTGCAAAGCCAAGCCATTTTAGTCTACTGACCTTTTGGAAAAACTAACATTTGCTACGTATCAAAGGATGGAGGAAAGGAACTGGGACTGGAAACTAACGTTTGCTACATATCAAAGGATGGAGGAAAGGAACTGGGACTGAACAGGTTTGGGAGGTTTTCTCCCATGTTGTCTTTTGTAATTCATAAGTAAATAAACAAACCTTCTCCTTTCCCTGTGAATAATCTTAAAAAATGAAATTCTTGTTCCAGTATTCGAAATTACATGTAACTCTCATGTTACCTTACTGTCAACGTCTAATTTTAGGCTACACACCTGCCGGCCGAAACAATGCGGGTAGTGTTGGAACGTTGCTACAATGACTTGCGTCTTCTGAACGTTTCCAGCAAAACGCTGAAAGCTGAAGGCTTTTTTAGAAGCAACAAGGTAAATGCTCTGGTTTTTCAGTTGTTCATTTGTGCACTTGTAGACTTCACTGTTGTGTTGTAAAAGGTATGGATATCTGTGTAGAATTTATAATGGATAACTGGCACGTATTTCATTGTGTACTATGTGGGATTATTTTGACTAGCAAATATTGCGGTGCTGATGAATACTATAGGCTATATATGAAACCAAGTGTACAAAACAAGGTAGAGCAGATTAAGAATCAGACATCTGGTTGACACTCAGTGGTTAAAATGATGGTGAGGTTAAGAACCTTATGGTGAAGATTTTTAAGTCAACCCTTCTTAGGGAACAAAGGTTGGCATATTACTATGAAACGTGCCTAATTTGTTTTCTAGGCTTTCTGGACAGCTGTGCCTGCTCTCAGTATTAAAGTTCTTAAGAAGCACATGTCAAAACTAAGAGCAAATTTTTTGCTGTTTTCTTGTCTTAAATTCAGTAATTTTTACTCTGCTGATTCTCCCTAGCCAAATTTATATTGTTTTTCCAAAAAAGACTTCTAATAAATGTTTCCAATAGTAGCTGTGTAATGCATTCAGAAAAAGAGTAATTTATTACTTCAATAATTTAAATAACATCGGTAGCATTGCCTTTTTCACTATGCTAGTAGTAATAGCACATTTTGCACATCCTTTGTCTCTGAAATTTAAGCTCAAGAACACACTATTCTTGATGAAGAAAGATTAGTGAAGGCTTTGATGGCTTACAGCTGAGCAAAACAATGACATTGACTTGCTACTCAGTTACTTCAAGCCCTTTTGCATTCACATTGTCACTACAGCACAATGGCCTTTGACAAAGGGAAAAGAGAAGTTTGTCCCCTTGTGTTCTAATTTGTGATATTGCTTACCCAGGTATACATTTAAAGATTTCTTATTTATGATGCTATATTAGAAAATAAAGAAAGACTGCCAACTGTCGTTGTGTGGATCATTACTACCACAACTAGTATTAGTGGACAGGTGAACAGTGCACACGACGTGGTACATAAATACGCTTCTGAACATAAAAGTGTTTACTGCAGCTGGTCTGTCTAGTTACAGTTCATTCCAATCTTAACATGATTATGAAAATAAGGAAAAATGAAATCATTATGAAACCGTAGGCTCCTTAATCTGTCTTTTTCTAAAGAAATATTTTAAATTTTTTGTAAAAGGTGATGTTTCGTAGTGACACAATTTCTAATGTGTGCTCAATCTTACTTGTTTGCTATTGATGCTTTTATTTTTATTTAAAATAACACTACTTGATAACACTGTTGTTTTATCTTCAGGTATTTATTGAAAGCTCAGAGTCTTTAGATCGTCATGTGGCATATACTGATTCTCATTTATGGAAACTTTTGGATCGTCATGCAAATACAATCAGACTATATGTTTCATTACCAGAGCAATCACCTGGATCTCAGTTTAGACGAGCAGTTTATCAGAAGTCTAGTGGAGATTCAGGCAACTTGGATGAAACTTGTGAAAGAGTAAAAGGACCTGTAGGTAATATGAAATCTGTAGAGGCAATTCTGGAAGAAAGCACTGAAAAGCTTAAAAGCTTGTCCCTGCAGCAGCAGCAGGAGGGAGATAATGGAGACAGCAGCAAAAGCACAGAAGCCAGTGATTTTGAAAACATTGAATCGCCTTTAAATGAAATAGACTCTTCGGCATCAGCAGAAAACAGAGAACTTGAAAACCAAATTCAGATTTCTGATCCAGAAAATCTCCAATCTGAGGAACGGTCAGATTCAGATGTAAATAACGACAGGAGTACAAGTTCGGTGGACAGTGATATCCTCAGCTCCAGTCACAGCAGTGATACTTTATGCAATGTGGACAATGCCCCACTTCCCTTGGCTAATGGACTTGATTCTCATAGCATCACGAGTAGTAGGAGATCAAAAGCTAATCAGGGGAAGAAAGAAACCTGGGACACAGCAGAAGAAGATTCTGGAACAGATAGTGAATACGATGAAAGTGGCAAGAGCAGAGGAGAAGCACAATATATGTACTTTAAGTCAGAACCCTATGCTGCAGATGAAGGTTTGGGAGAAGGGCAAAAATGTATGTATTCATTTTTTTTTAAATTCCTTAAAATAATCTGGCTTTTATTAGTATTTAATTCATAAGCTGTGTTAAGTCTAATGACATGTCCTGGTTTTGGCCACTCTGGCAACTAAACTCTACACAGCCACTCACTCATCCTCCCCAACTCCTCCCGGAATGAGAAAGGGAATTAAAGGAGAAAAGG